CCAGGGACCGCCCCCTCCTCTAGTCCGGCGCCGCCCCGCCCCTCCGCAGTCCGGCCCCGCCCTTCCTCTGGGACTGACACAGCCTTGCTCTCCTGCACCCTGGGGGCTAGCCCCTCCCCTGGACCGGCACGGCTCTGCCCCTCCCCCCCTGCAGTCCGGCACCAACCCCTCCCCTGGGACTGGCAAGCCCTGCACCCTTCAGTCTGGGTTAGCCTGTTCCCTGGAACCTAGTACAGCCTCTTCCTGACCTAGGGACCAGTTACGGGCCAAGCAATTGGTCGTAACTCGGTTTGTTCGTAAGTTGGACCCCATTGAGTTACATGTGACCACGCTGTTCGTAAGCGCGGATCGTGTTTGTAACTTGGGGTCTGCCATTTACAACAGCTTTGGTCGTAACTGTGAACGGTCATAAGTCGGCCGTTTGCAACTTGGGGACCAGCTGTATAGCTTCTGCTCATGTGCTCCCTGCTTGGCCAGCGCCACTACTGTTAGCGGGAAGGGGGTGCTGCAATGTAAACAATGTATGGTCCTACAACACCTTAAAGACCAACAAAATATGTAGATGGTGTCATGAGATCTTTGTGGGCACAGCCCACTTCTTCAGATTACTGTTAGCGGGAAGGGGGTGCTGCAATGTAAACAATGTATGGTCCTACAACACCTTAAAGACCAACAAAATATGTAGATGGTGTCATGAGATCTTTGTGGGCACAGCCCACTTCTTCAGATGAATGGAGTTTATTAAAGGTCCAGTTCCAAAATAAATAGGGCATGGTGGAGGGGAGAAGGAAAAAGGAGGAAAAAAGTTAGGCTTGTTCATGCTACATGAAGCTGGTAAGAACAATTTGCACTTTCTCTAAGTACCCATTGTTTGGTCTGTTAAGTCATTAGGATGTAGATGGTATAGGATGTAGATGGTAGTGCGCTAGCCAGGTAACATCTTTATGCATACCTTTGTGAAGGTCCTAAACTTGTAAATGAAGTAAAGTTCCAAGGCTTCCCTGTTTTGGGTGGGGGAGAGACTGATTTAGGCTGTGACTGCAGACTAGCAGGGCACAGAAGTCCACATTATTAGGTCATTATTAGGCACAACTGAAAGCTGAGTGTGCAGCTCCGTTAGCTGCTGCATGCAGCATCGTTGATATGTATGTGAATTCAGAGTGACCCTGCTATTTGCAGACTGCATATATTTTAATGTTCACCGGCCTCTGACATCCTTTTCTGGCCAGTGGAATCTGGGCATCAACTTGAAGCTCAATTTGCACTGTTACTTAAGCTGAAAGACTGTAAATGTCTCACTTGATAATGTAACTTTCCTGTTCAATCTCCTCTTGTTTCTTTCATTGGTTATTACAGGTCCCCCTTAGTCTTAAATATTGATCTTTTATAACACTGTTTTCTGAAACTTTAGTGAACTTTTCAGCAGAATTTCCCAACCTGCCTAGTAGGCATATTGTAGATACATTGGCTGTGCAGCACACAAAGCAAGCTTGAGAGGGTGATATTCAGTGGTTAATGTGCGTGGTTCCCTGTCCCACTCCTCAGGAACATTACAGGTCCCCCTTAGTCTTAAATATTGATCTTTTATAACACTGTTTTCTGAAACTTTAGTGAACTTTTCAGCAGAATTTCCCAACCTGCCTAGTAGGCATATTGTAGATACATTGGCTGTGCAGCACACAAAGCAAGCTTGAGAGGGTGATATTCAGTGGTTAATGTGCGTGGTTCCCTGTCCCACTCCTCAGGAACACCTCTGACACAGAGGCAGGAGCTGGTACAAGCCAGCTCCCTGTGTGCGCCAGCTCCTGGGGAAGCAAGTGTCCCCTTCTCCCCCCCCTCCCCATGTGTAATTGCTCAAACTTTCAGCAGTTACATGTTTACTTTAATATATGCATGTTAACATCCTTGTCTCTCAGCCAATGTTATGTACTATCAGCATGCACCTCACTTCATGTGCCCTTGCTTTACATGCAGGTTATATTGGTAGGGGAAAAATGAAACAGATTAAAACTGGAGGAATCTGGCAGTCCTATTTGCGAGCAATGGTAAACAAATTGTCTCATGGGCGCCACTCAAAACCCCAATGAGCTGTGTGTGGTCCTCAGGTTGCTCACAGCTGCTTTTAAACTCTTCTCGCTTTGAAAAGTGAGGGGTAGCAGCAATGTTTGTCTGCATCTGTAAAAACAAAAAGTCCCCTTAGCACCTTAGACTAACAGATTTATTAGGGCATAAGCTTCCATGGGTAAAACCCAGTTGGTCTGACTGCATCTTTGTCTAATATCTTTGTCGTTGAGGGCTCTCTCTGTCTTATTATCTGCAAAGGGTACACTTAAGTAATGAGGCATTTCCTTTGCTCATTCATCACAGGGCATTCTTCTTTTCATTGGGGGATTTTGAGTTCAATGGCATACTTTGTTGATTACATACTGTTGTAAGATCAGGGCCTAAGGCATAAACCACCCTGACCATACTTCTGTAGTCTCCTCCATCCTTATTGTTTCCTCATACCTTAGTCAACAAGTGATCACTTCAGTTGAAAATAGAATTTTTCACTTTTTGCTCTCCTAAATTGTTGTTGCATTCATTACCACAGCAATGCAACATCTGTTTAATGTTCACTTGCTAGGTAAGTGATTACTGAGAACTTAAGTGAATTTGACAAGTCCTGTATGTTACCTCTGGATGACTGTCATTGTTAGTTAACTGCAGTGCAGTAACTTGTGCCTTTAAACTGATTGGGGCAAAGGCTCTTGTGTACAGTATGTTGTATGCTTATGATACTAAACAGAGGGAGATGTATGTGAAGAATCAGTATCTTATGCACAGACTGATTTGTCCAACAGGAAGTCTAGAGCTAATTCACCTGGCAGTAGTTTGATTATTTTATTTACATTTTTGGGCAAATTGAACAGTTTTGCTTCCTGTCCTCTTGTGCTTGGGAAGTTACACATGCATTCAGGGAATTACCCTGTACTCTGGCACATGCATCAGGGTTACTGGAAATGGAAACGTGCATTCCTGTACTAAGTGTATGAAGCAGAGGCCATGACCTGCTGCTTATTTCTCTTGGATTTTAAATCAGCATGGCTTTTGTGAATTGTACTGGACTCCAGTACTGTAAGTAGCAGAAAAGGGGCAAAGTAGCTTATGGTACTGAGCCACAGCTAACTGGAGGAAAAATTGATTATTTAATACATATGCAGTTTAGATGAGCTCGATTTAATTTGTATGGAGGATATCAGTTACTTTAGCAAATCCCTTTGTTAGGTTGGGGCTTGTCTATGGCTTCTTTACATCATTGTTGTTTGAAAAGTTTAGATGTGTACATGTGTTGATCTCAGCACTGGGGGGTGAGAGACTACTGACTTCCTATCCCTTGCAACTTCCTGTCTCTTCACAAATGCTGAGGATAAGACCAGGAAACGCAAGTTAAATATGTTCATATTTTAAAAGCCCTACATGATGTAGAGATGTTCTTCAGTGAAAGATTCTTCTAAGGGTGCTTGAGGAGAGTACCTGGAACAAATGTTAATCATTATTGAAATCTAATGAATGGCTCATAGAATCAGGCTTTTCTTCTAGTCTTGGCTCTACTCCATTGTAGTGTGCCCTGCCCTGCCTTGCTTTTTCTGTTCTTTCAAGTTCTCTTTGCCACAGGTTGTCAGGATGACTACTCATGGTGCAGTGGAAATGAACTGCTAGTTCCCGAGATGTCGTGAATGCTCTTGAATAAGCAAATTGTTGACCTTTTCATCTGAGGTGTGCAGTATGTGCTACGCCTAGAGGTTCATGACAGGTTATTTAGATTGACCTCTAATAACTGGTGAATGCTTTCTGGTGACTGAAAATCCTCTTAGTTGGGATCCAAAGAACAGGGCTGACAGTGCAATTGAACTGCCTTATCCAATGGACACTCAATAAAGAGGGCCATTATATTTCCCCAAAAAAGTGTATCAGGCTGGTAGACTGGAAAAGTTCAGTTTCCTTCATCATCCCACTGCCACTGTTTCCAGAAGTGCAGCTATTGAGTGTAAGTTTCAAGAGTTGACACTGTTAAGGAAGCTGCAGTGCAGTGTCATGCACTTTTTTTGTGCAGGCGCTTTTTGTGTTTCTGATCATCCTTTGAACCATTCCCTATGGTGCAGGATATCTTCAGCAGTGTGATACCAAAGTAATTGTTTTTTAAAAATCATAAAGGAAAGCTGGGACACAGGAAACACAAATCCCGCAGTTTTGACTACAGCGTTCAGTTAACATCTTAAAATTTCACTGACATGGACCATCTCAGAGTTACTGGGGGGCATTCACCACAGGCTCTTTAAGACCAGGGAACTTTTAGTGTAACTGCAGCTGGACAAGAGGATTGCCAAAGGCTTGACCCTAAAGCAGTTTATTCAGTGATGCCACAACAAGCAGCACACGCTGCATCTGGGCTCATTGGGTGATGCTGTCATTCAAAATGTGATTTTAGACTCTAATCCCATGGCAGCTGGGTTAGTGATTTAGGGAAACATAGTTCAGTAGACAGAGCATGTTGGGGAATAGCCAGGCTTCCTCTCTCAAGTGCTGCCACTGATCTGTGGCCTTGTGCAACTGCTTTCCTATCTCTGCCTCTGGTTCTACATCTTTAAAATGAGGGTACTTCTACAGGAGCTGTCTAGTCAGTGCTTTCAGACTTAGGAGCTATGAAATGGCTACATATAATCCTGGTTTTGTTCATTCTCGTTCTCGACAAGCATTTGTTGAAGTGGGTGGGAATTATGAGTTTGATATAATAGCTTCATTTGCATCTCAGACCTTGATGTTGGAGAACCAGGCAGGATGACAAGATAAGGAAATAAACCTTGGCTTCCTGGGGCTGTTTTTGAAAAGTTGTTAATCCTGGAGCGCCCAAATGTGTTCTCCTTTCAACACGAGACAAAGGTATGACTAGCTCCAGCAGACACACTAGAGGAGAAAAGTAACTTAGGAGCCCTGTTCTGCTTGGCCTGGCTACCCAAACATTAGCAATGTAAAGGGTTAATTTACACCTCACCCTTAATAGGTGAGGCTTACTAGTTTTAGTTAACTGGTAGGGCCTGAAGTAGGAATGTTAAATATAGGTTCATTGAATAGTCGAGTAACCTCATTCATTCTTATCAGTTAGTTGACTATTCTGTAGTCTCTGGGTATGAGGATGGCAGCCAGTGCGCTCGGTTTCTGCTCCCGAGGCATCCCCTGCCCCTCCTTGCAGGGTGCCAGGCAGGAGCTGGACCATGAGGAGAGCCGGTTTAAAAACCAGCTCCCCTCTCAGACTAGCTGTCTGTCGCCCAGTGCTGCTGCCTCTGTTATAGAGGCAGCAGTGCAGGGTGGCAGCAGCCCCTGTCCTGGGAGGGAAATGCGTGTAGTCTATGGCATTAACCTATAATCTTTTGCTTATCGGTTAATTGAATACACTATTACATCCCTAGTCTGGAGCAGCTCCCTGCCTGCCCTGGGCAGGGGCTGCTGTAGCACCACAGGGCCTGACAGATCAGCCCCAGTCCATGGACGGCCTGGCCAGATCCTCCACCCCCTGGATTTCAGGCATTTCTTTCCAGGCTATGCAGTGAAGAATAGGTACCATGTGGAGTGTGTGTGTTCTTACACCCAGGATCCTTCTCAAATACAGCATCCCGAAGATTTGGAAAACAAAACCTGTAAATAGATGCACGTGCATCCTATTTTCTAGCCCTCTGAGTCCATCAGCAGTGATTAGTGCTGTGTCTGGTGCTGGGGGTTCCTGAGTGAGATCTTAGCTCCTGTATCTTGAGCAAACCACAAGCCTTGCGCTCATCCGAGCCAAGGGAAAATTAACTAACTGAGCAGAAGCTCTGTTTTCCTAGGCCACACACACACACACAAAGGGTTGTAGCAGTGGAAAGCCATTTGGAAATGCCTTTTGCTACTCAGGGAGCCGTTGCCGATATCAGTGCTGTAACCTGCCCAGTTCTGGTTTGCTGCAGACACTTAGTGCTAGCAGGTGACCCTGAATAGGAGCAGTCTCTTGTTACGGAGTTGCTGATGGGGCTGACTGAGCTATTGTCAGGCTCTACTCTTCTCTGAAACTGCCTGCTCATAAATTGAAAGTCTGGCCTTTCGATCGATGTTGCTCAATGCGTGTTGAGTTCCTCCTTTTGTCGTGTCACTTTTGTTCAATTGAAGTTGCAAGGAACTTTGGATGGGAAAAAGATGCGTTTTGGCAACTGACCTGCTATGTGACTTGCCCGTCTACACTCATGACACCCATCTTTGCTCTCACTTCCCAATTCTTTGTGCCTTTCAGAGCCATAGTCTTTCAGGCCATAAGTGACAACCGTGATACTATATTGTCTGTCCTCCAACACATTGAAGACCACACGACTCAGTCTACTTCACTTCTCACTAGGGATGTTAAAATGCATATATTTGTGTGAATGTGTAACCGCTGAAATTTGTAGTGGTTGCATGTTTACACACAAGGAGCGCCAGTGCTTGCCTGCCATCCCCTCACCACTTGCAGCTGCCTCTGACGGACACAGACACAGACACCTGGCGGGGGGGAAGGGAGCAGTTAACATGGGATGTTAACCGTGTACACAATTCCTATTCCTAGCTTCATGATGTGCTGCACTCTGTACTTCAAATAGTCTGCCTTCATAGGCCAGGTGCGCTCTCCCCCCTCCTTAAAATCCTTCTGTTGTCAAAGCTTGTAAACTCCTTGAACTTAGCATATCTGTGTAAAGTATCATGGCAATTCTAAGAGGCCTTAACATTCTCCTACGAGTTTCTAACTTCTGAAAATCTGCAACCCCCGGAAACAGTAAGCCTGTAAGTCATTCCTCTTTTCTAAAACCCAGTTGCTGATTTCAAGTGGAACTGGTTTCATTAGGCCCTGTAAGTGATTGGTGGTAATGAGATACTGTGCATGAAGTAATATCTTTTTATTGGACCACCTGCTGCTGATGAAAGATCAATTTCACTTCCTGAGGAAGAGCACTCTGTAGCCGAAATTTTTTTTCACCAGCAGAAGTTGGTCCATTAAAAATGTTATCTCAACTATCTGTCTTTATGGTAATGAGTGAGCTGACTGGCTGTAAAAGCTATTCTCCTGTAAACAAGCCTCTTCTTTTTATCTTTTTCTAGTTAGATGAGTTGTATAAATCTTCAGTGTCACCAGCATGTAGAAAACGCTAGCTTGGCTGCTATACTGGCCTAACATATAGTACTTCTGAGCAATAGCTGAAATACTAAAAACTGTTTGTCCTTGTCACTTCTGTGCATGTGAATAAGGCAGCCAAGAGTGACTGCTTGATTTATTTTGCTTATAGTGCTACTTTATACTGCAGAGCACAGTTACACTGGTGGCCATTAAAGAGCAGCATGCAAGTCTTTGAACAAAAATGCGTGCTAGTGTGTTCAGGTTCCAGATGGAAATGCTCCCCATTTTCTAGGCCTGGGTGTTAGAGCCATTGTCTCTTACTCTTCTGTCCCTGGGGATGATGACACTAAACATAGAACAGTCCCTGAGTCACAACAGAGATTGTGGGAATTGTTGCCTAGGGAGCATGGAGGGAGCATGTGCTGTTGGGGAGCCACTCTAATAACCTTCTGCTTTTGTGTGTAGGTGAGGAGGCCTGGAGATGTCGGGCTGCTGCTACTGATCAGCGACTGTACAGGACCGTGAATGAACCCTGGCACAGCTCCTGCTTCCAGTAGGTTCAATCTGGCCTATTTTTAGATGTGACTCTTTCC